GTTTGACCATCGATGTCTTCGGAGCATTGCCCGAATCTGGTGGGAACACCGGATCAGCGATTCTGAAGTACGTCGAATGGTATTCGGGAGAAATAAACGTGCACTCCCCTTGATCGGGTCCGAGATGGCAAGAGGATCACCACCTAGTTTTACTTCGCCTGCTTAATATCTTCGCAAACGTGTCTTCGAACAGATTCAGGTTGCCTGGAGATCTTTCTAACCAAAAAGCGCCCTCCTTGCAAGTGTAATCAATGATAAATATGACGTTCAGGCAAACAGCCAAGCATACAATTGGAACAGAAATTAGTCGGATCGTGGAGTGGTATGTTCAGGCGCAATTATCTTCAGCCCATCAGGGATGTTTAGAGTTGACCATCGGAAAAGAAAGTGGTCTGGTTCATTCAGATAGACTATCATCGGACAGTTTTCCAACAAGCAGACTGACGGGGGAAGCTTCCGTTTAGATCGCATTACAGGATTTCCTCCCTTCACACACGAAAGGCTGATTGATAAGTGGCACAATACCCCATTCAAAGTCTATATCGTCGGAAGTATGAACCTGAACGGTGAGCGCAACTATGCGCATACGCAGACATCTTTAAGTTATTCACGACATCGGTCAATGGAAAATGTCTTGCTCGAACGATGCAGTACAAAGCCACACATTGGAAAGCCTGGGAGATGACAGATCATATCGGTATCCGTGGGAGCACGCTTCTTTTTCGTCCACTTTGCGGACAACCATCCGAACACATTTATGGCATAGGGGAAATGTTGTTTTGTCCTACACGGATGTCAGAGCCCGCTGAAGAACATTTGTTGAGACGCGAACGATGTAGACTGCACTGACAGTACATGGTGGACAACTGTACCGCACAAGAGAATGTTACTGTTTAGTAAGTTAGCCACAACCGGAGCGGAATGGTGCAGTTCTAAGAGAAACAATAGATCACTGTATCGCTGCATCACAGGATCAACATGGAACGCAATTCAGATTCATTCTAATATCCAGTGAGAATGACACTAACAGCAACCTGCGCGCCAATGTGACGCGTAGGCAGCAATCTCTGTTTGCCCAGTGGAAGAAACAATGGACCCTGATACCCATGCATTTTCGATACTCCTGAGCCGAGAATCGGAAACTGATGGTGACTGGCTTATCGTGGAAGGAAAAAGGTCAACAAAAACTCTGATTCACACGAAAGCAACACAAGACAGACAGACATAAAGGGAGTGCGTTTGAGATTTTCCCCCATAAATGAAACTATTTGTTGCTCCAATTATCATGGAAAAGTTGGGACCGGAACTGCAGACAGAATAAGCTCCGGGCCTCCTAGATTTTGAAAAAAAGAGACACTGAACAGTCACTGATTAGATGATAAACTTATCGAACGCATTACGCACCTCAACGCACTCAAATCCTTAAATTGTAATGATGTGAACCTGAAGCGGCTATTTCAAAAGTCCAACTAATTGAGGCATAACTCAAGACGTACCTGCACAACCCGATTAGGCTGCGAAAACGGAATCACAGATTCCGATTCGGTTGTCAACGCTCGTCCACCGCGGTTGGCTGAAGCCAGAGCTTCTTTCAATTTGACATAGGATTCAAGTTGTTTCATATCCACATCTGTGGGAAATCTTAGAGTCTGCAGTTTGAACTCCAATTCTCTCACATCTGTAGAGAGATTAACGGACCAATTGAAAGTAGGACACTAGGTTTGCACTTAGAAAAACGTTCACTTGCTGGATAGACCTATTCATCGGCTCGGTGGCCACTTGAAGCTCCGGACCTAAACGGACTGGAATATAGAAGTGGATTTTAAACTTGAAGACCTCAATTTGGAAACCCTATGAATGGGGTTAGTACGAAGCAAATAGGTGAACTCCTAGGCGATGGTAGCCGGAGCAACATCCTGGAAAAAGAGGATTCGGGGGAAAAAAGAAACAATAGATCACTGTATCGCTGCATCACAGGATCAACATGGAACGCAATTCAGATTCATTCTAATATCCAGTGAGAATGACACTAACAGCAACCTGCGCGCCAATGTGACGCGTAGGCAGCAATCTCTGTTTGCCCAGTGGAAGTAACAATGGACCCTGATACCCTGATACTCCTGAGCCGAGAATCGGAAACTGATGGTGACTGGCTTATCGTGGAAGGAAAAAGGTCAACAAAAACTCTGATTCACACGAAAGCAACACAAGACAGACAGACATAAAGGGAGTGCGTTTGAGATTTTCCCCCATAAATGAAACTATTTGTTGCTCCAATTATCATGGAAAAGTTGGGACCGGAACTGCAGACAGAATAAGCTCCGGGCCTCCTAGATTTTGAAAAAAAGAGACACTGAACAGTCACTGATTAGATGATAAACTTATCGAACGCATTACGCACCTCAACGCACTCAAATCCTTAAATTGTAATGATGTGAACCTGAAGCGGCTATTTCAAAAGTCCAACTAATTGAGGCATAACTCAAGACGTACCTGCACAACCCGATCAGGCTGCGAAAACGGAATCACAGATTCCGATTCGGTTGTCAACGCTCGTCCATCGCGGTTGGCTGAAGCCAGAGCATCTTTCAATTTGACATAGGATTCAAGTTGTTTCATATCCACATCTGTGGGAAATCTTAGAGTCTGCAGTTTGAACTCCAATTCTCTCACATCTGTAGAGAGATTAACGGACCAATTGAAAGTAGGACACTAGGTTTGCACTTAGAAAAACGTTCACTTGCTGGATAGACCTATTCATCGGCTCGGTGGCCACTTGAAGCTCCGGACCTAAACGGACTGGAATATAGAAGTGGATTTTAAACTTGAAGACCTCAATTTGGAAACCCTATGAATGGGGTTAGTACGAAGCAAATAGGTGAACTCCTAGGCGATGGTAGCCGGAGCAACATCCTGGAAAAAGAGGATTCGGGGGAAAAAACTTGAGTGATTTCACAGAGTAGAATTCCGGCTAGCCTTCATCAACACGGTTTTGAAGTTCAACTGCTCCTGCTCAATCCATGAAACAGCAAGTCACAAAACAAGGAACAAACAACACAAGCAGCTGGAAATTGGCAACCAGATGTGAAACATGTCACTCGTCAACAGAAAGTTGGTGCTTCGATGCAAGCTCAACAGTGCTGAGATGAGTTGAACCGATTGTGCCCACTCAATGATAAAACTGTCACCGATCCGAACCCCTCTAGGAGAAACAAAAAGTCGTGGGACCAGAAGACCAAGTTCACTACTTACATTGTTCTGTGGACCTGTTTTGGAAGTGATAGAAGCTCTTTTCTAGCATCAATTCGGGAGTGATGCCTTTCACATTCTGCAAACTGAGAATCATACTGTTGGTCAGGTAGAAGGCAGAGTCCAAACGATCCGGTTCACCTAGAAGAAGTAGTCTGGCCTCGGCTGCGGAGATTTCGTTGTTCAACATAAGAATTACTGTGCCCAGATCGTCCTTACCACGACGACCGGCACGTCCAGACATCTGAATGTATTCCGCCGACGTGACAAGGCGGTATTTGCGTATATCGAATTTCTGAGTGCCGCCAAATAGCACTGTCCGAGCAGGCATGTTCAAACCCATGGCAAATGTTTCAGTGGCATATAGGACCTGGTAGGCGAAACAGTATCGACAAAAACAGAGAAGTCATATCTTTGAAGTGAGGTTTACTGTAATGAAAAATGGTTCAGCTGCAGTACCGTTTGGCTGCCCAGCTGCCATGCCACCCGGAGGAATCGGGAGGGCTCAGATACTGTCAGGTCACTTAAGTATAGACAGGAGAAGAGGATACGCAGAGATCGGGTTCGAATCGCGGACCTTCCGATGAACAAATTCGCGCGCAAACCACTGAGCCACCTCGACCCGACGTTTATTCTACTGACTGCGAGCAAACAAGAAACATCAACTGACCGTACACAGCATACGTGACCCAATATCACGGAAAACGGTTGTATATACGTAATAGCTCAAACGGGACACACCGGAGCATGCAACCGCGGCAACTAGTTCAAGGCAATCGAGGACATATCCCGGCATGTCACAGATGAAAACAAACCAAGTCAAATACGCAACGGATTGAAACTTCATTCAGTGAGTTAAAACGATCGCAGAAGGGACTAATATAACAGAGCTGCATGATGTATTTCACCAGTCAGTCCTGCGAGCACATAGTACTACGCGCACTACATAAATATGGGCGCATTCGTCACGCAAAGGTAGATCAGTATGGTTCGTTGGGCTGCAAGCTTTTGATATGTTTCCACAAGGTCTGGAACACAACCGCTACATAATTATACCTATATTCCAATCGCCATCATCATCATCAACAGCATGACATCTGTGTTCAACGCCGATGCTTCACTGCCGTACAACCATGACTTATTTGAAAGCCTTATTGTAAAGAAAAGAGTAAAGGTGGACGGGGAAGGGAATTAGTGCTAGCTTAACACAATCATTCCGAGGTGCCTACGCCTCCAGATATTCACTCAGGCGATCTGGAGAGAAACTCACAAGAACGCCACTGACAACGGCTGGCAGCCAAATCTTGTAGAGTCTCCAACCAGGCACACTGAGGATCATGCGGTCCTCATCCTGGAAGGCGAGTAGCATCGACAGCACCCAAGCTTTTCGTGATCTTCTTCATACTTCTCTGCCAAGTCAAGGGTTGGTCACCTCTCTGTTTAGGTCACCCTGAATTGGATATGGAAAACAGCACTCTCTTCGGCAGACGATGGTTCGGCACATGCAACACATGTCCCAACCAACGCAGCTTCTGGTGCTGGACATATTCTTCAATCGAAGTACCCGTTACACAACCGAAAACACGCTTTCTAA